AAGAAAAGACTTTGATTTTTTTTTTTTTGCTTCCTCCATCTATTTGCTAGGTTCTGTGTATTCCTTTAGATTGTGAATCTAGGAACAGTTTTCTCCTTGTGAAAGAGTGAGGTGTTGCCAAAAACAGAATACTGCCATCTCTGCTTATGAATCCCAGTTTCAAATCCCAGATGCTTTACATAATAAAGCCTAACTGGGCTGATTACCAAGAGAACTCAGTCATTCAGAGAAATAAAAGGGAAAAATCCCCTTGCTTCATGAAGGAAGAAGTGGTGCCAAGAGGAGGTTGAAATGTTAAAAATGCATTTTCTGTTTGGATCTTTCATATCAACTGTCCTGTTTCCCTCTTCTTTCCCTTTTATTTAAGGCTGTGGATCAGTAATGCTCTTGTGCAGTGGGTGTATGTGGAAGTTTTTTGTAGGACCTGTGAGGACCTAGATTTATGAAATATACATTCAACAGGTCTCTTCCTTCTCTGCAGGAGCCCAGCTTAGGTAAGTCTTTCTGGCTATATTTTCAGGGTCTTTAGACAATGACGTGGATGCCTGTAGCTTCATTGCTTACACAGTTTATGGTTTTGTGGCATGTGACGTTGGGGCCATCCAGAAAAGAGCGTGCTGACTTGGCTGCCTGATGTTGATCATGTGGTATCACTAGAAAGCAGTATGGAATGTTTGGCAGAGGATTCGGCTGCATAGGCAATAAACATCCATATGCTCTGCCTGTTCCCTTTGCCACAAGCGATGTGGTAGGGCCCGTGCAAAGCAGCAGGGAGACCTGTATGTGTTTTTCTTTCTTGTATTCTGTAAATAGTTTTTCTTCTACTGCAGACACTCTTATGCTCTTAAAGAAACTAAATTCCTATGGGTTAAACTGGAAGTCCTCTTGTGGATTAATAATTGATTAAAAATCAAGAAATGGGGAGTTGCTTTAGGTGGTCAGTTTTCTGTGGGTGGAGGTGGAGTTACTGGTGGAGTAAAGCAGGGATTTCTGCAAGGGTTGAAATTAATTGTTAGAACAGAGTGATACATATGAGAAAAGACAATGCTATTCTAGCTGATCCCCTCACTGACTGTGCTGATCCCTTGACTGACTATGGGTAGTTCCCTGAAAACAGCAGCAGCACTGTCGGCACTCAGTGTTGGTCCGAAAGGCAAACAGAGCACTACAAACTGCTGAGAGGGAAACCAAGAACAACAAAATCCTTATGTCATTTTGTAATCTCTGCTGTGCCTACTTCTCGAGTACCATGTCCAGTTTTGTTCTCTTTGTTAAAGTAGAATTAGGGGACGTGGAGGGATGGTGAAGGCAGTCAGACGTATGGGGTTGCTTTTGTACAAATAGGAACTAATTAGTGTAGGAAATTTTCTGTCTGGAAAACAGGCAATTGGAGGAGACATAATATCACCTACAGTGGAGGTCTGTATAGTCATGAATGGGTTGGGGAAGTGAATAGAGAGTGTTTATTTCCTGGAGTTTTTTTCCACTGCTTCACAAAAGGCAAACTGGGGCACACAGAAAACTTTCAGGAAGGTAGTTTAAACAAAAACAGTTTTTCACACAGCACATAAATAAATTTTGCAACTCACTGATGACTGATGTAGTGGATGGAGATCAAAGTAAAGTGAGCAGAGAAATCTTTAGGTATATTACAGAAAGTATCTTTTGCTCAAGCAAAACTCATTAAACAGTTATTTGCTAATGGTTACTGGTTTGGCTCCCCACGTGAGAGGATAGCTGTGTGTCACTTCTGGAACATTTTCAAAATACTTCAATTTCTGAAAAACTAGGTAATGCTGTTTGGGTGAAGCTGTTTGAAAACAGGAGATGTGTGATGTTGCTGTGGTTGAACAGGATTTGCTGAAGACCACAGCCAAAACCAGAGCATAATAGAGTCCTGAAGGAAAAAAATAACGATGTTGTAGCTTTCAAATCCAATAGAAGTTTAGAAAAAAGTCAATACAAATCAGGTCATATAATACATCCATGTAGTCATGGAAGTCAATTGATTAAATTCTGCAATACATTTGCTCCTTGCTTATTATCTTTACAGTTTCAATGAAAGAAATAGAGTACAGACCATTTGACAAAAATGTTTGACTGCATTTTAAATATGTAAGGCAGAACTGAAAAGACTGTGTGTTCCTCAAAATTCTTTCATTCAGTAGAAAAGCTATGCCAAAGCTTCTTAGGAAGACAAGGGTGCCTGATTTCCATGAAGGAACGTGATTAAACAAATACATGATTGCAAATAACCCACTTTTAGGTAAACTAACTTTCAGTCTGGCTAACTAAACCTTTCACTTTGATGCTTTGCTGGTGCCTTGCACGTTTTGAATTTGTTCAAAGGTGTAGAAAGTATATATAAAGTGGCAGTGTTGGTGTAACTTAGGTTTAACTAACATATTAGGGTTCTCCACTCATTTTTGCACAAGTATAAATTATTATGTGGATGCGATCCTTAGACTTGACTGGCTGATGTGTTAAAATTTATCACTACATTTATATCTTCCTTGTCATATGTTATTTCACTAAGAAACTCCATGGAAAGATGAACCTTATGATATATGGGAGGCTTAAGCAGCCTGCTGATTTCGCAAGGAAAATATAAAATTACTGTTGAATTGAGGCAGGACACTCAAGGAAAGCTGGGATTGAACTAGGATCTTCTCCTGCAGTAGGTGCTTATAAATGAACTCTACTGCACTTCTGGCTGCACCAGGAAGTGAACTTTGCTGTTCTGCGTATGCTAAAATATCTTAGGTGTTTAATTTGCTGCAGTCAACAAATTCCATTGACTGACTGACAACTGGAGTTCTCCATGGGCTATCTTTGGATGTGATGTTCTGTTGCAAAGCCTTTGTTTCAAAAGAAACCTCAATAATCCATATGCACCTGCAGACTTGCACACTCTTTTTCCTTCCTTTGCTCCCCCTGATTCACCATCTGAATGACCAGAGCCTGACCTGGTACTCGTGGTCTTGCTTCACATCACTTGTTCCTTTGCAAAAATGCAGTCTGAAATGGCAGTCAGAGAAACAAAACACTTTTTGCATGTAAAGTTCCTGCAGATCCTGTTTTTCAGTGGTAATACTTCATTATGGAAAAGCGTAAGTGAAGACTTCATTTTGGTATTTCTATTAATATAGAAATGGAAACATAGTCATATATAATACATGGAGCTGCTGCAGGCCTGCCATACTTTCAGTACGAATAATGTAAATGAATGCAGTAAATTAATTACCTCAATCAATTTTATTGGCAGAGGAAGCCCAAATAGATTGATGGGTCCTCTTAAATTTTAGTTCATGCCCTCTCTAATGTTATTGTTGAGAGTTTTATGAACAAGTCATCATAGCTGTCCACTTGCTTTCCCGGGAAAGGCTGTTGTTTTTTTGCCTGCTGTATGTAAGCTGTAGAAAAGAATCTTTGTCTTAAATAACAGAGCACAGTCCTTTTAAGCAAACAGAAAAACATCCCTTTTTCTTTTAGCCATGGATAACTATTTGTTTATTTTAATGGCTAAAATATAAGAGGATGCTGATAAAACCAATAGGATGATTGGAAGAGTGGGAGAATGCAGCTGACCATCAGCAAAAACATGCCAATAATGAGATTTAGTAGGTGTCAAGATAAGCTTTTAAAAATATAAGTGTTAAAAGCCTCATAGTTTGAAACTTCTAGAACGGTCTGTATAAAAGCACTGAAAATCAATTACGAGGAGCAGTCGAATAGCACTGTACTGCTTTCAGTCTTGTAGGATATTCTTGTGTCCCTAAAAGTTTTCCCGTGGTACTGTAGCCTCTATAGCAAATGAAGTTTACTGATTATGAGGCTTGCTGCAGCGGTTCTGTTGTGTGTTCTCCATACACCTTGAGGGATCCATAGATCCTGACCCTAACAGTCCTTTGCCCAAGATGGTGGTACAGCTTCTGTGGAAATGTGGATTTTGCAAAATTTCAAGACTGCTGCGGCACAACGTTTAAGCAGTTCAACTCCTCCAAATAGTCCAGAAGACAGCTGTGCTAAAAGGACACTTGAAGTCCTCAGCTTTCAAAAATGACCATTTCACACAGAACGTGGAGGCATCATGGGGGCTGGTGAGAGCAGAATCGCTCTTGGCGTTGTCAGTGGGAATGCATTTTCATTCCAAGCTACAAACCCTGTCACCAAACTGGCGGGTAGGTAGAGAGGAGCCTTAGCGTTCACGTAAGCGTGAGCGAGGATGGGGCTTTCTGCGAGCTCCGGCTGCTCCCCGTTCGATGCAGCGCAGCCCTTCCCAGCGCTCGCTGCAGCCTGGAGGAGGCGGGAGATAGGTCGGCTCATCAACGCTTCGCATTGATTCTGGCGTTTGAGGACTCCACTGCGGGCAAACTCTCACGCAGCGGAGGGGAGAGAAGTTTTAAGCGGTCTTGCTGTCATTAACATTCACGTCTCTGGCTTCAAGCAGCGCCCGCCTCACCCAGGCGCTGCCAGCAGGGAACGTGGGCTCCTGCCTCCCTTTGTGCCGAGGGGATCCGTGCGGAGCAATTGAAATGCACGGCTGAGAAGCACTGCTGTAGTGGTCGGGTTTGGGCTTTTTTTCCCCCCCTCTGCCTCCCTTCATCCTTGGAGCAGGAGGGGCATGTTTGCTGTGGATTCTTTTTGTTTTATCTGAGAATGAGATGCTGGCTGAAAATTGAAGAAATGGCCCTGGAAGAATTGATGCAAAGATTAAATGCGGTTTCCCAGTGCGCTGGTAGGAGGAGCTGCTGGTCTTAAATAATGTGTTGTGTGGATGCTGTTAGTGATTTTGTAGGATTTGCAGAAAATCCTGGTAATCTGACTAGCATTCTTTATGCATGTTCGCAATTAACAGGAAAGAAAACGTTAGGAGCTTTTGTCACCAGGTTAAACTTCTGTTGATATTAACACTAATTAACATTTTTAGTGCTTGGATACTCCTAAGGCATGCTTTAGTAAGACCATCCTGGGTAGTTTTGGGTAACTGTTAGCCCAGTCAAATACTCTAAATGGGTCTTGATTCCTTTTTTATCTGACTCGGCTGTACCTAAGTTGGAGAAATTACAGATTTCTCTAGCAGAACGGGTCTAATAGGAAGAAGTGAAAAGCTCAGATAACTGTAAGGCATTGCAAGCCAGTATTTAGGGTGGATCTAAACTGCACTTTCATTAAAATGGAGAGTTGTGTGAATTAATCGTGGTAAATGTAGTTTTACATCTGTATGGATTAAAAATTGCAGCAGATTTACTAAAATGGTTTTAGCACTGTAGAAACATTATTACAGTTTCTGAGAGATTTTCACAATTCGTTGAAAATATAAATGCTTGTGTGTTCAAAACTAGAACTAAGAAGCAGTGTACAATAAGGTGATCTGTAATTAGATCTGGGAGTGTTTTTCTGGCTATTGCTCATGCAGAGATGTAAATATATTTCAGAATAAAAAGTTACCTGGAAAGACAAGAGATGTGGTTTTTGCATCCTTTGAAACTGTTTGGTTTGCCCTTTAGTCTTAGTTGGTTGACAGATTACAGAAGTCTTGCATCTTCTTGTCATTTGAGGCAAACCAGTGGTTTGAGAATACAAAATATTTAAGGTATTATTCATTGCAGTATCAAAACTTGGAATTTATCTTTCAGTTTTCCTAGTCCTCTGTTTCCTAAGGGTGACTTTTTCATCTTTTCCAATTTCTGTATGTTGGAAGGAGATAATTAGCAAGATGGCTGATGCTGTAGTCTGATGAACAGATAGATTAAATGACAAATGTGGAATGAACAGATCAGCTGCATCTGTTTTTCTGGACAGGGAAAGCAGGTATTTTACCTTCTTAGTAACATTTTTTTTGGGGGTGGGAGGGATTTAATCTGATAAGAACAAGCATTAAATTACAAATAAAAGTCACCATACATACTATTTTCTTCTTCCTTGCTTTTTCTATTGATTATCTTTCTATTTTCAAACCATGGCTTTATTAAATGTCTGGATAGTTGTTTCATTGCCTGTTTTGATTTTCTGAATGTTTAAGAAGAAAGCCGGTCCGATATTTTCTGGGGCATACTCTCTTTTGCCATTTATTCTAATAAATCTATATGTTACTTTTTCCACTCCCTTAAAATTGTTGCTCTAGTTTTTCTAAGGCAAGATGGATTTTAGGGATATATGGTAGAACTGGTTGGGAATGTGGGAGCCTTTTCTTTCTAAATTGAAGGAGAAGGATCCTCCAGAGTGGGAGCAGGCTGGCTGGTTTGCCTGTGACACCGCCTGTCTCTCAGCTGTGCAGCTGCAGGTACACTGTGACCTTCATGTAAGCCAGCAGTGCCTCCAAACTGCTGTTTTCACACTTGCTAGCAGGCTTTGACCATGTACTGGTATTTAGCTTGTTAAACTTGCATATTTTTTAAAACAAACAAAAAAAAAAAAAGCAGCTGTCACTTTACAACCAATTTCATGTTCGTGTGGTTCATCTGGTTCCTCTCCTCCTCTTTCTCTTTCTTCCTCTCTATAATCCCTGTGCAGGTATTCCCAGGCCAAAGGCAATGCTTTCCTATAGCCAGTGATTGTATTTATAGGTGACTGTTTCAAGTTTCCTTTTTTTCCGCCCTCCTTTTTGCTTTCAGGTTGCTTAGACCCTTTCTGTATTGCTGTCTCCCATTCTTGGGCTGTACCCTGTCCTTGGGTCAAATTAGCTTCTGTCTGGCTTCACAGCTGTCTTTCTGTTCACTCAGAAACCTTTTGTAAGCAGAGGTTTCCTTAACAGCCCAAGACCATGTGCAGACTTTTCCCAAGCCCATTTTTCAAGAGAGATTGAAATGGAGAGGTTCCCCTGGCTGTCCCAAGATGCAGCTGTCCACCTTCAGGCATGAAGGGATTTTTTCCTTTGGAGGATTCTAAGTTAAAAAACCAAAAACAAAAACAAACAAACAAAAACAAAACAAAACAAAAACAAACACCACAACTATTCCTTATCTTGGGTTTTTTGTTTGTGTTTTTTTTTTTTTTTCTGGTTTTATTTGCTTGTGTGTTTGTTTGTTTGTTTCTGAATGATACCACAGGCAGGCTGAGATTCATCCCAGGTAGTTTTAAGCTTCTGAGTCAGAAGAGGAATTGTCTGAAACCCTTGTGCACCAAACAGAGAGAAGGAGGCACTTTAAGATGAGAAGTCCTTCCACCTTCTGAGGTGCACTGGTCTTTTCCTTGACCAGGACAGGGGACCAGGAAGCCTGGATTAGCTCAGTTCCTAACCTAGCAGTGCCTGAGGTTAGGTATGGTGAGTCTGGGTGTGTCTGTAATCTTTTGCTGTTCTGCCACAACAGCCTCTCCACCTCTGGCTGCTCTCCCACTAGCAAGTCCTCTGTGTTTGTCTGGCACTCACACAACCTTTCTGGGCTACTCATCCCTCACTGCCACACTAGCACTTTCCTACTGGGTGTTTCTGCTCCCTCTGCTCTGACTAAATTCCGATTTACTCACACTCTCAGTCCCTATGGCAAGTTACAGCTCTCCTGCTCTTTACTCTCTCATGAATGTGTGATCCTCTCACAGAATCCCGGCCTTCCTCTGCCACATTTCACAAACCTTGGCAGCTTTCTCAGGCAAAACTTTGATATCTTATTTCTGATCTTCCTCACCTTATTCTCACCTTCACCTTCTCCTCCTCCAGTACCTTGCAGATACATTCTCTTCTGCTTCTGGACATATTTCACTATCAAGATCATAAAGATGCTCTCTAGTTTAACCTTATCATCCTCTTCATATTCCTGCTCTGACTCCTGCTCCACAGTTCAAAATAACATTGTACCCTGCCCTTTTCAACAACTGTAAAAGATGTTCCTATGGTGTCTTCTTTTATTTTTTTCCATATGTGCTTCTCAGTCCTCCTATTCACTTCACTACTATCAAATGGCCTCCTAGACTTGGATGACCAGATTAATTGCTGTTTTCATATAAATCCATAAAACATGGGAGAAGCGATTTAAAAACACTCTCTAAGTTGTGTGGGATTTTTTATTTTCCATTAGAATTGTGGGTTTATTTCAGAAAATCTGTGAAATTATTACTGATACTTAAAAAATATCCTGGTTTTGTCCATGTTTATTGTTTTGATTGATAATGACGTAATTTTCTGTTCATTTGGCCTTAGTTTTTACTTGTCTTCTTTTTCAGTTCTGTTGCTATGTTAAATTCAATCCTCTTCTGTAAATTCCTGATTATGGGCAGAACTTCCTCTCCCTTTAGAACAGTAGCTCAGAGGTTGAAGCATGAGATAATAAACAGTTCTGGCCTGAGACTTCATGCACTGTGCATACTGCTGTGTGCTGTGGGATTTCTGCTTGGGACTCCATTTGCTCTGACTGATACAGTAACAGTGTTAAGGCACCAGCTCTTAATGTCAGTCACTACTCTACATTTGCATCAGCACTAGGAAGCCTTTCGGTGATGATGATGTCTAGTTCGTGCAAACAGGCAACGGATTTGCTATTCCCATCCTTAATCCCATGGAAGCCCCACTAATGGTTTCTTTCCACCTTGGAAAGGTGCCACTATTACAGCTAGCATCTGTTTCCTCTCCTCAAACAAAATTGTAACAAGAAGAAGAGACATCTGCAAATCAAAGAAGGAAACCATGTGTGTAGCTCCTCAGTAAATATCTACCCAGTGCTAGGATTTTAAGTACCTGTAACATCCCGTAGCCGCTGCAGCTTCGGTCAGTTTTCAGTAGCTCCACATTTTCTGTCTTATTCACAATTTGGGCCAAAACTTTACATTTCATTTCTCTGGCTTTGTGTTCTTGACAGGCAGGCTTTTGAAGTTTTGAAGGCTGGTTCACCTGTCTTGACAAATTAGGCACAAATGTAGGAGGAATGGACTTGCCTACCCATCTCCAAGTACCCAGCATTACTGGGATGACTTATTGCAAGGAGAAACAGGAACACCCCCAGGCACACTAAAGGGATATTATAAAGTTGTGTGCAGCTGGAAGGACCTGTTCTGTATGTCTTCCCCATTTCTACACTCTTGTGAGCTTGCCTGCTCTTTCTTACCCTTGTAGCATCTCTCCCTGGTTCACGTGATTTTCCAGTTTGGGAACCAAAAAAAATCTTTTCTGTGCATGGCAGAATACTCTGTGTGCGCGTGTTAATTTGGCAGGCAGGCAGGCCTGAGCGTGAACAGCATTAATTTACTTCTTGGCAACTTTCTACATAGCTGGTAGAGTTGAAGAGATCTGTGTGAGGGCTCTGAAAATCTGCAGGTTGTTGTTAGCACATCCGCTGTACCCAGGTGGAATTTAATGGCAGTGGGGGATGCCTCTGTTTGACATTAACTTGCTGTCCCTTCGTTCAGCTTTCCTGCACCCATGTCGAGCTGAAAGATGCTTCTGATATCCCAGCCCAGAGAGTATAAAGCAGGCATGGTCTTCCTGATGTAAGGTTTCAAATTTGAAAAATAAGGGTGGAAGCTGCAGCTGAGCAATTAGGCAGGTAGGAGTGGATTGCTCATGTGTTATATGAGCGTGCACTGTTGCGGCTTCTGTGACCACCTGCACGGCGTCTGTTTCTTAGTATATTCTGGCCTAAATCAACATCTTTATTTTACTACTGAAACAGAGGGATCTAGTGAAATTAGTGGGAGTAAGGTTCAGAGTTGGCAACAGTCTCATCCTTATTAAAGGGAACTAGCTGCTTTTTGGGAATCTGAGGAGAAATATTTTGATCAACATTAAGGTGGATTACATTTTAT